GATCTGAGATATTTGAGAAAGAAACTGAAGATGTTTTCCCACCCCTTCTTCAAAAATATACATATGTGTAAAAATTAACAGAATCACCAAGTAAGAGGAGAGCTAAAATCCCAACTAAGATATCTATTGCCACGAAATGAACCATCCAGTTCTAAGAATTGGCTATGTCTTACTGAGTTGTTGGCCAAAAAGTTCCCCTGGAAACCCCCAAACAAGTCAGGTGATTGCCAAGGCTATGGATTGCTCTCCATAAACGGATGGTAAGCCCTAGTGGTCCTATTGTTGAAGACAATATCTACATAACTCATTGAACATGAGCACTCTTGCTGGTTTCTGCCTCGAGCCTTCACCCCTACCGACGTGTGTTCATGCTACTAGAAGGTCCTCTGCTCACTACAAGCGGGGAAAGGTAAACACTAACTCAGCTACGAAACCTGTGACCTACAAAGGTGACCTGCCTGCAAGCTGCGCTAGTGCAATAGTGGCACAGAGGCTGTGGGAGTGACCAACCAGTGTCTGATCGGACTTACCGCCCACTCCATGAGACGGGCTCTGCCAAGGTGGAAAGAACCTGAGGCGAAATAGGCCACGGAGCAAGGGGACAACTGAATACTGTTGTTCTGCTTAAACAGAACAATATGAATGTAGCAATAAAATGGCCCAGCAAATTCTGCTACAGTCATAGATCAGTGTTTTGCTCTGCCATCATCAGAGAAGCTTGCTCCTTAAGCAGATGAGAACAAGTACAGAGACCCATAACTGGACAATGTGCAGAGAGTGAAAGACTTTGGGATGCTCAGTCCTAAAGTGGAATAGCTCCATCATATCTCCCTAAATATGAGTGTCTGCATCTGGATGTGTTACTTGTACTTTTTTTTTTTGGCTCTTCTTTTTTTCCTGCTTGTTTGTTTTGTCCTATTCTGTTTTGAGTGTTTATTTGTTTGTTGAGTTTTTAAGTTAGTTTGTTGTTGTTTCGTTGTGTGTGTGTGTGTGTGTGTGTGTGTGTGTGTGTGTGTGTGTGATTTGCCTGTTTGCTTTCTAATGATAGAGAAAGAAAGGGTATGTGTGTGTTTGCTTGGGTGAGAGGGTCTGAGAAAAGTTGATGAAAGGAAAATCTTGATTCAAATATATGAAAAAAAAATCTATTTTCATTTACACTTTAAAAAGCAGATATTAGGGTATATATAGGAACATTTTAACTTCTAAATTCCTCAAATTCTAAAGTTCATACTATTTAATTCTTAAATTTCCAGATTGTTTTTTCTGTCTTGCTGGCTTTAGGAAAGTAACAGACCACAGTCACTCTTCAGCTAGGACTCACAGATTCTATCTTTAACTTGTCCCAGGAGTTACCAACACACAATTTCAATTTCATGGAAAACAGATTAAAAGGTACATTTGGCATATGAACCACAGTAAGAAATGTTAGCTGAAGGTTTCAGTCTTTATTTTTCAAGGTTAGTTGCTAATTTTAAGAGGTCAATGAGGTGAGTTCTCTAGACAAGAAAGTAAAAAACTAGTTAATCCCTGGAAATGCCCATAAAAAACAAAAACAAACAAACAAAAAGCGTGAGTCCACTCTTTGTGAGGCTGCCTAACTTAAGGGGTCCAAAATATATGTCACCAAACAACCAAGAGATCCCAAGCCTAAGTGCTTGCCTGATTTCTTTGTTACCAAAAATATCCATCAATATTTTATATCAAAAGCATCCTTGGCCTTTTCCTTTCCCTACTTGTTAATGATGAGATAGATCCTAAGCACAAATCCAAAAACAGGTCTTGAGGATCAGAACCTTCTTCTCAGAATCATGTGCCTCTTAGGATAACCATATCCCACCTTCGTCAAATCCACCTGACGCCGAATTTACCCCCAAATTTTCTACCAGGATGTAGTATTTGACAGTGGAGGATCCTGAGATGTTTAAAGCAAACACTGTCTGCTAGGTGATGCTATATAACTATTTCATCTCAATTGAAACATTCTCTCCTGGGAATGAAGCTTATAAAATTCAAGAATTAAAAAAAAAATAAGAAAGACCCAGGAAGTTCCTGAAAGTTGAAAGATTCTCAATACCCCTTTTCAAAGTTACATAAGTAGTAGCAATGATCTCTGTCTGAGCAGGGATTGTAGGTTATATCCATGCATGGTCCTTGGTTGGATAAACAGTCTCAGAGAAGCCTTGCTAGCCCACAGATAAGGACATTGCAACCATCCTGAAGATACCTGATAAGCTAGGGCCAGATGGAAGGAGAGGAGGACACCCCCTCTCAATGGACTTGGAAGGGAGCAGGGAGGAGATAAGGGAGGAAGGGGAGGATTGGGAGGGAAAGGGCTACAGCTGGGATACAAGTGAATGTACAAAATTATTTAAAAATAAAAAACATATTTTAAAAAAGTAGTAGCAATAAGAGTGGAGTCTAGTGAGAGAGAAAGAGAGGGTGAGAGAGTACACTTCCACAAACCGCAGCGCTGCCTGAAAGCTGTGAATTCTGGGGATGGCTTGTTTGTTTGTTTGTTTGTTTGTTTGTTTTAGTCAGCTGTCCTTGAGTCAACAATGCTCCTATAAGTAAACCCTCACCTATATTCCTTTAAGCAACTCTGGTATACTTACTGGTCCCCTAAGCTAGAACTGAATTGAATTATTTCTTTAGCTTGCCTATGGTGTCTTATCTAGGATAGATATTTTTTCATGTTTCCCTAGGAAAAGTCTGGGAAACACAGCTGTTCCCCAGAAGGGGTCTTTCATAAACTCAGAATCAAAGATGAGTTTGGAAGAAGTGGCAGCATGGTCCTTGCAATGGATACTGAGACATGCAAGTGAGGTTGAAACATATGGGAAAATGGCCACAAGAACAATCTCAACAGGGCTACTTTTCCCTATGTGGTGTGGGATGTTGTAACTCCTTGCTGTAGTGGTGGGCTATATGTGACCCATGGTAGGTAATGGGATGCACAACTAAGACCATGCCATCTCAAGTAGAGAGTCCTGGGGAGGAAGCCCAAAGTGGCTGAGTCTTATAATTGGTATTAATGGCATGCCTCCTTGATAACCATGTCTAAGAGAAGGAAAAGGAAGGTATGAAGCAAATCATGGACTACTAAAGGCTTACTTGAAGACTGGAAGTTTCTTTTGTGTGACTGTTCATCACCAGCTATTATTTACATCATATTGTGTCTCAGAAGATAGTTCCAAGAGTCCTCTTTCACTAGGCTTTCTCAACAGTATCCTTAGCTGCTTCCACCCATCCAATGCTAGACTATGTGGAGTTTTGCTGTGAAAATGTGGCTTAGCTGATGATGGAGTGTGTGCAGAGAGGTAGCCTAGGGGTGCCAAAGTGGAAACAGAAAGGACATCTACCAGGAGAGGTTAAGTGGATGGCTCACACGAAGCAGAAACAGGAGGAGGTCTCAGCAGCGTCTTATCAAGACTTTTCCACTGCAACTACAGCTTGGTATACCCCTGTTCACCTGCGTCTGAGTAATTTAACATTGAGCAAGAGCAAATTACTCAATGAAAACGTGCTTTCAGGGGCTACTGTATTTCTGGGAACATTTTGGTTGGAACTGATGTAGAATTACAGTTATTTCAAATCCACGTGAGGCAGAAACTCACTCATTACCAAAAGTTAACCTAGATGATGGCTCATGAGTTCATTGTCTCAGACTGGTGATGATTAAAGGTGTAGGCACACAGGAATAGGCAAGGCAAAAGAGGGCATCGTTGAGGAGATTTAAAGAAAATAGAAAATTAAGGAAACGTTAAAGAAACTCCTGAAAATTGAGAGCAGCCCCAAGAGAGGAAAACCACTGAGCTCTTGGTCTGGTTACTTTTATAGGACTTGTGGCATGGGCAAAATGAAGGGGTTTCTACTGAAATTGATTAATTCTCTGAGCATATCACAAGCTAAGCCAAAATAGAGCCTGCATAATGATGAATTGCCAGGCCCATGTCCAATTGGCTGGACAGCTTCAACAGAGGATGTCACTATCCTCAGCAACAATGAGAGCCCAAAGCTACCCAGATGAAATGTAAATTGCCACAATCCAGCTCTCTGTCAGTAATATGGCTTCAAAATGGGAATTCTCAGAAGATCTATGTTTATGTTGATAACCGTACATCAGTGTTACTCTCAACTTTGCTTAGAGGCTTCTTTTTGTAGTGGGCAATGGTTAATACAGAAATCCATAACTGTTCAAAGTGCTAGGACTAAGCAATTGTGAATGCTTAATCATAGATGGGGCATCTGTATCAATCCCGCCTGCACAGACAGGCACCACCAAGACTCAGGAAACATCTCAAAAAAGGTGATGGAAAAAATGTAAGAGCTGGAGGATTGGGAGGAATAGTGTGAAGTGCTGCCTTCTGGACATGGCATGCCTACTGCACATATGAACTCACAGCATGTGATTACTTACATACAACCTACACAAGAGCAAGCAAGTTAAAACTTCCAGCATTGCGGTGAGTGTAGAGGTGTCTTTGAGACCCTGCCCTTCATTGAGGAGCTATTAGCAACTGATGGGTGCTGAGAAGGAAGAGTCACTTTTCTCTAGGAAAATATAGCCACTTGTAAATTCCCAACACCCCAGTGGATAACTCTACATCCATATGTATATGGGCAGTACCAACTGGACCCAGTAGGTTAAAAAAATAACTAAATAAATAATGAGTAAGTATAAAAGGAAGACATGAAATTAGGAAGACAGGACACAGTCCCTGGGGGAAATTGGAGCTATATAGTGAGAGGTAGATATGATTAAGATGCATTGTGTATATATTTGGAATTTTCAAAGAATATATACCAACAAAGAGATAAATAAATAAGTATGTAAAATCGCTGCTTTCATTTCTTATATACTTTTAAAAAGAGGTTAGGAGAATTGTCCAGTTTATTAGGTCATTTGCAACTATATCTGCTAGGCCAGATGGCTCACATAGCAAACACAGTTCTTCACGGTCAGGGAAGAATACAGTCTGTCCCACAGACACAGAGGAAGAACTGCCCCAGAAAACTCCGCAGATGTGGCCGTTGTGTCACATGTGTGCCAGTAGGTGGCAGAGAGGAGAGCAGCTATGTCTACAGTGTTCTGACCTATGAATTTCTGAAGGATTAGCAGCCTAACAATCCCTGAAGAAAACGAGCTGAGATGACCAGTCCAGCACCAGTGGGCTCAGACAGGGAGCTAGTCTGAGACAACCACCAAGTCTGGGACCAGGAAGCCCCTGACAGGCTCCCAGGGCAGGGAACAAGCTAGAGACTAGAAGAACCCTGCCTGTGACCACTGGCCCTGGGCAAGAGTGAACCCAAAACAGAGGACCTTCATTCACATGGGGCCAATTGGCAGGACTGGGCCAGGAGCAAGCCCAGAATGACCACCAGAGCAATGGTATGGTGCCTGAACAGGGAGCTAGCCTGAAATGACCCCTGCCCGATGCCATGATGTACAAGTGCTCCTGAGACCACTCTCGAGATGGCCCTAGACACTCAGAGAATGTGAGAGTCATTAAGAGGAACAAGTAGTAGAGAAAGAAGAATGTGGGCACAATGAAGACAGGCAAAACTGGAGACTCGAGGGTAATGAGGAACAGACTGATGTGAGCAGTCAGTGATGCCACCTGGGACCATGGTGGGGTCCTGGCCTGTGCTGCCATCAGGGTCCATGTCTGGGATTGTGGTCTTGCCTCAGCAGAAATATGTTACCACCAAAGGCAGACATCTCTGGTATGGGCTGCCACTCAGGGACATGTTGGTGTCTGAGGGCTGTGAAGAACTGTCCCTACCCTCACCTGGGCATTGTGGAGAGCTGGCCCTGGGGGCATGACAGCAGAAGAGCTAACCCCACCACCAGCCAGCTGCAGTATCCTGGAGAGTGAGTCTGTTCTGAGGATATGAGCATGAGAGAGCTGACCCTGGAGCTCATCTCCTGTGAGTGGTATGAATGAGGGAGAGAGACTGTCTTCCCTGCTTTGCCCCTCACCACCTGCAGCAGGTAGATCTGGTCCTGTCTCTTGTCTGCTGTGTATGGCTTCAGCAAGGAGAGCTCCTCACCCTTCCCTTTTGTCCTTGCCACTTGTGGCAGGCAGAAAAGCTGGCCCTGGAGTCATGAGAGCAAGAGAGCTGTCCCTGCCCCTCCCCTGCTGCAGCACTTGGAAGGGCAGGCCCTGCACCTCCCCTGGGCAATGCTGTAGAGCGGGCCCTGGATATAGTGGTTGCAGGTGAGCCAGCCCTAGAGGAGTGAGCATGGGGGAGCCAGCTTTGCCTCTTGTCTGCTGGGCAATAGTACAGATGCCCTCCATCTCTCCCTTGTCCCTCACCATGGCAGGTGGGAGAGCTGGCCCCAGGCCAAGAGACTGGGAGAACTGGCCATCTCCTTCATCGGCTGAAACACTCGGAAGAGCTGGCCCTGTACCTCTCCTGGGCAGCAGGGTAGAGCTGGTTCTGGTTGTATGTGTTGCCAGTGAGACCAGCTCAAATACCTCTCAGGCCCAGATCCAGGACTTTGAATTGGCCTACCCCAACATCTACTCTAGAACTGCTAGAGTGCATGAAGGGGTCAGTCCTACAGACCCAACACTATAGGATCTCCATGACACAGGGCAGCAAAAGGATATCCAGGAGGAGTCCCAGCGGGTTGCAGTATTGAGAGAGTAACAGAATCCAGAGGCCTCATACAAACCACTGAGTCATTTCAATGAACATTTGCAAGCAAAGTGTGGGAAAGGGGAGTACTGTGGAACACACTGTGACACAACTACAGCTTCCAAGACGGGTTTTTGTTTGTTTGTTTCCTCTGTTTCAGATGAGGTTGCAACGGTGGAGAGAGAGAATGAGGGGAGAGGGAGATGAGTGAGCTTGGGGGTACATAATGTGAAATTCACAAAGAACCAATAAAAAGTTTTTTAAAGGAGAAGAAAAGCTGTGTCTTGTAATTTTTTGTTAAATAAAATGCTTATTATATGATTAAAGTGGTGGTGTATAAAACGGGGTAATTATCGGTACTATTGCAGCAACTACTGACAGGACAAGCAACAAACTGTCAGGTGGATATAGGCATACCCTTTTGATTTGCATATTATTAGCAGAATGAGCTTTATGTGACAAGGCCACACAAACATTATCTCACTGCTAATTATCATAAGAAAAACCTAAGATAGAAAACAAAGGTGTTTGTTTCTTAGATGGAGAAACGAAAGTTCAGAGATTAACAACTGGATGAATCAAGACTGGAACCCAGATCTGCTGCAATTCAAAGCCTCTGCTCTCTCTTCTATACTAGCCTGCTTCCCCAAAGTATAGTTATTTGCAGCAGTAGTTTATATTATTTAAATATTGTCTAATATCTGCATTTGGAAATTTAGTAATTGACATGTCTATTGTGGGACCATGTACTTTATACTATACTGACTATATAAGGTTGGCTATCAAAAGTGTCTGTTCCTCCAAAAATGAGGGCTATAGGCAAGAGAAAATATAACAAAATAAAGGAGGGAAATAAGAGACATGGGTGGACTGCTTTAAGAACCTTAGTGAGGGGCATCTAAGAATAAGAAAGTATTACCCTCTTTAACAGTTTTTTAAAGTGGTGGCCTACATGCCATAATACTTGAGAGTTTACATACCATTCACACATACTAAATGACACCAATGGCACTGTCGAGAAGGGAAGGATCCTGAGAGACACAGCTTCAGTTCAGAATAGCTGAATTCATTAGTTAGGTATCTGTCTTAGTGCTGGGTGGGGGGGTGCATACCTTTAATCCTAGCTGGCACTCAGGAGGCAGAGGCAAGTGGATCTCTGTGAGTTTGAGGCCAGTTCTTGGTCATTGATCCCTGGAGCAGAGCAAGTTTCAGGACAGGACTACTCAGAGAAATACTGTCTTGGAAAACCAAATGCGAGTGTGTGTGTGTGTGTGTGTGTGTGTGTGTGTGTTAGTCCATTCAGGACTAACAAAAATGCCATGAACTGCCATAAAACACAAGTGAAGTGATTGTTTCCCAGGTGTGAGGATACCCCACGGTGGGGGATTCAATCAGCTTTAACTCACCCGGCTAAACCGCGGAAGAGATCCCGGTTCCGCCAGACGCTTAGTCAACATCTCAGAGCCACACGCCAGTGTGCTCTGGTCACTGTCCCAGACTGAACTGTGCGCACCACACCATCAGAGACTGGAATCCCCAGTCGAGAGATAACCCCACGGAGCAGGAAACAATTGGGACCCACCTTAAGTCACCCAGACATCCCCTGGAAAAGACTCAGGTTCCGAGGGTGCCCCAGGAGCCAGCCCAGAGCCAGAGCCGGGGACCCAGGCACCTGCACAGAGCCCTGCCTGTGCTCCTGATAGAACTGTGGGCCCCAGGGCACCAGAGACTGAGTTTCACTGTCGGATGCAAACCCACAGGGAGGGAAACGGCTGGTCTGATCTCAGAGCACTCAGCCTACACCCCCACCCCGAAAAGGTCTCAGGAAAATTTCCCAGTTTAGGCAGACGGCCAGACTCCCAAAGGCCAGAAAGGCAGAGCCACAGGTGGGCGTCTGTGCCGGTGGGTTCTACTCGCCATGCCAGACAGAACGGCAGTCCCCAATCTGGCCCAGAAGGGGACACACACTGCCAGCCCAGATCAGAGCGTAGAGCCTCTGGACCACAGCGGCACCCTCAGCCACCATCCCAGACCCGGGTGCACAGCGTCCGGACTAGAGCAGCACCCGCAACCATCATCTCAGACAGGGACACACAGCTTCCGGCTCAGAGTGAGGCACCCAGCCAACTGACCAGAGAGGAGCCCTCAGTTGCCAGCCTAGAGAGAAGTGCACAGCCTCCAGACCAGAGCGTCACCCCCAGGGCGCAAACTCAACCTAGGCGCACATTCTCCAGGTCCAGAGCAGAGCACTCAGTCCCTGGCCCAGAGACTTGCTGGGTGCTCCTCTCACCTTCCCGAACAGAACTGTGTGCCCCTGGATAACAGACTGAGTTTCCCTGTTGGGAGAAAAACCCACAGCTAGGGAATCGGCAGGATCTTCAAGAGGGCTGTACCTGGAAAACAGTGTAACAACAACAACAACAACAGCTCACTAAATTCAGAAAGAGAAACCCAGCAGCGGGGTAACTGTCTTGAGAACTTCTACGGGTGAGAGGAGAGCTCCCCTAACTAACAAAGACCACAGCTACTACTCAGATCTATACAGCTGAGGTGAGCAGTGGCAATTCCTGAGAAACACTGGCCATACAGTGACAGAGGAGGCCTCCTTCAGGAAAAATCATCTTCTGGCCAAGGGGATTCTCCCTACCTCAGGACTTCAGGAAGCACAGAAACTAACAACCAACACCTAAAACAGCCCAATGGGTAGAGGTCAGCGTAAAAGCCCAACCAACAAGAGACAGAGCAATATGGCATCACCAGAACCGAGCCATCCAGGGGCGAACAGCCCTGGACAACCCAGCATAATAGAAAATCAAGAAGATGACCTTATATCTATGCTGATGAAGAGGATAATAGAGGAAACAAATAAAATATGTAAAGAATTAGAGGAAGATAAAACCAAACAGATCATGGCTATCCATAAGAAATGGAGGAAGTTAAAGACAAGCAGATTATGGCCATCTGTGATGAAATACAGGAAGATGCAGCCAAACAGTTTGTGGCCTTCAGAGAAGAAATAATTAAAACACTGAAAGAAATAAAAGAAACAGAGCTGAAGGAACTAAAAGAAACAGACAGGTGAGGGAAACTAAAACAATCAGACAGGTAAAGGAAATAAACAAAACAACTCAAGATCTGAAGAGAGAACTGGAAAAATTAAAGAAAACACAAATGGAGGAAATAATGGAGAGGAAAAATTTAGGGAAGAAAACAGGAAATACAGAGGTAAGCATAACCAACAGACTACAAGAGATGGAAGAAAGAATCTCAGGTGTAGAAGATACAATGGAAGAAATCGATGTATCTGTCCAAGAAAATGTTAAATCCAAAAAATTCCTGACACAGACTGTCCAAGAAATCCAAGACAATATGAAAAGACAAAACCTAAGAATAATAGGTATAGAGGAAAAAGAAGACTCTCTTCTCCAAGGTCCAGAAAACATTTTCAACAAAATCATTGAAGAAAATTTCCCCAAGTTAAAGGAG